AGTGGGGTAACGGTTGACAATATCTGTGAGACATGTACCGCGGTATTGTTGGCGAGAATATAGGTTTGACACACGCCAACAGTGGGGTAACGGTTGACAATATCTGTGAGACTTGTAACGCAGTATTGTTGGCGAGAATATGGGTTTGACACGCGCCAACAGTGGGGTAGCGGTTCACATTATCTGTGAGACATGTACCGCGGTATTGTTGGCGAGAATATGGGTTTGACACGCGCCAACAGTGGGGTAACGGTTGACAATATCTGTGAGACTTGTACCGCGGTATCGTTGGCGAGAATATGGGTTTGACACACGCCAACAGTGGGGTAGCGGTTCATTATCTGTGAGACTTGTAACGCAGTATTGTTGGCGAGAATATGGGTTTGACACGCGCCAACAGTGGGGTAGCGGTTCACATTATCTGTGAGACATGTACCGCGGTATTGTTGGCGAGAATATGGGTTTGACACGCGCCAACAGTGGGGTAGCGGTTCACATTATCTGTGAGACTTGTACGCGGTATTGTTGGCGAGAGTATGGGTTTGACACGCGCCAACAGTGGGGTAACGGTTGACAATATCTGTGAGACATGTACTGCGGTATTGTTGGCGAGAATATAGGTTTGACAAGCGCCAACAGTGGGGTAACGGTTGACAATATCTGTGAGACATGTACCGCGGTATCGTTGGCGAGAATATGGGTTTGACACGCGCCAACAGTGAGGTAACGGTTGACAATATCTGTGAGACCTGTACCGCGGTATTGTTGGCGAGAATATGGGTTTGACACACGCCAACAGTAGGGTAACGGTTGACAATATCTGTGAGACCTGTACCGCGGTATTATTGGCGAGAATATGGGTTTGACACGCGCCAACAGTGGGGTAGCGGTTCATTATCTGTGAGACTTGTAACGCAGTATTGTTGGCGAGAATATGGGTTTGACACGCGCCAACAGTGGGGTAGCGGTTGACAATATCTGTGAGACTTGTTGGCGAGAATATGGGTTTGACACACGCCAACAGTGGGGTAGCGGTTCACATTATCTGTGAGACTTGTAACGCGGTATCGTTGGCGAGAATATGGGTTTGACTCACGCCAACAGTGGGGTAGCGGTTGACACTATCTGTGAGACTTGTAACAGGGTATTGTTGGCGAGAATATGGGTTTGACACACGCCAACAGTGGGGTAGCGGTTGACATTATCTGTGAGACTTGTAACAGGGTATTGTTGGCGAGAATATGGGTTTGACACACGCCAACAGTGGGTAACGGTTGACATTATCTGTGAGACCTGTAACGCGGTATTGTTGGCGAGAATATGGGTTTGACACACGCCAACAATGAGCTAACGGTTGAAGCTTTCAGTGAGACGTGTAATACTGAAGTATAGCGAGAATAGGGTTTGATCCAGACCACGACAAAGATAATATTTACGTTAGTAAATAGCACAACAACTGACGCCTTTGGTGGTGTTTGTTTAGAAATGAAAACCAGCACAGAACCAATAGAATAGGAATGTGGACAGTTAACTGGGTTAAGTCCATTCACTGTTTCAACCTTAATGTTGGTAAATTTCAATTCCATAGATAAATACGTTTTCACACCACGGAGCCAGGGTAAACAACTGTTATTTGGCGAGTCTGTAGGTGTATTTTTATCAGTATTTCTCTGTGAGGTCTTCAGTCACCATTGATGTAGTCAGGAACATCATCCTGTTCTCCCAACATCAACAACGGCTACATGGCCATACGAGCTTCCCAAGGTCCCGAGGGCGCGGGGAGGTGGGAAGATGGCTCTAATGAAAGTACGGGTTCTCACTTCCGAGGGGGCGGTAGTGGAATGGGGGCCGGGAGCACTCTCCCACCCCTGAACCACAATGGCATCTAACCCGTACCATATGCGTGTAATAACTCCCGGCAAAGTGCTCCAGTATAAATCATATCTGCTTTATGGAATCATAACTCAATGGAGGTAGTAAGGACTGTACGGGAGTTCGCGTGCCTGGGTCCATTTAACTCCCTCCCTCACACACCCAACACGCACGCACGCACACACACACACGCATATGGGGAAGCTGGTTTCATGTGGCGAAGGAAGAAGAAGCCTGGACCTTCCAGAAGAGTGGTAACGGATCGATTTAATACGTCCGCTTCGTCAAGACGAGAAAAAGTACCCGTCATTCTGGTCCTACGAAACACCTCTCGGTCCATCAATTCCTATCACACATAATATTCCGGTCATATGCAACACTGAGAATACAATGTCGGCCACCCGATCTTTCAACACTGAAGACACCCGGTCGTTAGTTCCCAAACCTTTCGCCACCATCCCAGTGGTGGCGATACGGGTCCGTCAGACAGGAAACTCTTTCTCACTCAGTACAGGTTCACCAACTCTTCTGGCATTAAATCCCAACCCCTATCTCCTCATTTCCTATCCACCCCCAGTACATGCAGGTCTTGCAACACACTGATCTACGGGCAGTTAGTTACCTTGATAGAAATCCAACATCCGTTTTATTCAACCCTTCACAAACAATAGAATACTGACACACAACACTGTTTCCTTTCAACCACCACTATGCCGTTTGCAGCTTAAGTTTCATTAGAATCTAATACCTGCACCCACCCCTCCAAATACAGATTCAGATAGAGTGCCGTTACCTTGTGTACACCTGCGCGTTCTGCTATGCCACATCCTCCGACCATCTGTTCCACCGGGCCTGTCACTCACAGTTACATCAGATATAAACATACGCACTATCTTCACTTTATGCGTTTATATACTGATTACTTTAACCCCGAAAACTCTTCTTGATCGTCGTGTAAGAAGAAGCCCTAATCAGCGTTACAAACACGTGCGAAGCCAGAGATTACTTTATCTACCAAACCATTTTTTTCTGTAATCAACTTGAATTTAACACATATAATGCCCGTCAAGGGGTGTATATTTTGAACACGACGATTCCTTATCATATTTAATGTTATTTTCTGCTATAACTACACAAATTGGATTTTAATACCATAGCTTATTTTTCCAGATTTGTTCAGTGATATTCACATCTGCTACGGTCGTGCAAGCGTCATTAGCTAAACGGTTATATTAAACACGTGCAACACGAGACAGGCTCTAATTATTAAGAATATTTGACGGGGATTTATATCTGATGAATGCGATACTGACAAAGCATTATTACGACATCTGTTCCTGCACAATTGTTCTATTAACCATTTCACTCGGCGGAAAAACGTCTCCGGCGCTTATATCCAACTCGACAGATTTACAGCGTTAGCAGATATATATATTGACGCCATGCTAATTTGAAAGAAGATAGGATCATGGGGGATGATTTGTAGGTCCGTGTTTGTTGTTTTGCGACAACCTGTCGTTTTCAATTTTCTCGCCGAAAGATCGTCTCTATTCCGGTCATCCCTGGGGCTCGACTGCCTATTGCTACTATTTGTACAATGGTGCCCCACCCCGGGGGACAGAGACAAGCGAGGGAAGCAGGAGGGAGGGGATGGGGATTTGACACAATCGATCTGTAATGAAATAGGGATTTTTCTTCCGTAAAGGCATTTTCCTTCTTGACGAACGAAGAAAATATGTTTTAACCGTTGTCAGAAATAGGTGGTGACGGGGTGATGTTACGTTTTGAAGGATTAATTTGTAGGAGAAAGCGTATTAAATTAATATATTGAATTGTGTATAAGAAAATGTTGTTTTTTCTGATTCCATCTAACAATTTTGTATGCAATATTAGAATGTGTCGTTAAAATCAGCTTAAATTAACCCGAAAGTAAACATTTCATTTACTTAATCCTATTTTGGATACGTGTAGTTACCATTTTGTATTTGCATTCATCTCGATGTAGTACATAAATCAATGTCTAACGGAATATCCTTTGAAATCTCTCCTAGAAGATGGTAAATCGATCTGTTGTAATTTTGAGATATGGTTATCATAAGAAATATGAATGAGATGTGATTGACAGAATGTAGGCTAACTTTGAAGTGTTATAATATACTTTGACTCTAATCTCTATTACAAATTCCACAGCCTCGGCTCGGTGGGTGAGGGTTTGCTGTACACTTCAAAGGGACTTCACATCAGCCTGGTAATACACTGACAAGCAGTGGCTCGTCGGTTACATTATTCAGCACCTGGGGAAATCGCACTGGATTAAACAGTATGCATCACCGCCTCGGTAGCTTCTCAACAAAACACAATTTGCCGAAAAAACAAGTTTCAATTAAGACAGTCGAGGACAAGTACACATGTGCGACAAGGCACGTGTGGTAACGAACACACGGCGTACACACTCAGTACGGAAGATTTTCTAATTACCACGTACGGTAGTAATATTTTAAGACCGTTCTTTCATCGTTTAACCTTAGTGTGTTTTAAAAAAAGATTCACTTGCTGTGAAATTAAGACTTCTATTACGTTTAGACCGCAGTGAAAAGATTTATACACTGACGACAAACAGCTGGGAGATTGTGCATGTTTTTCTGTTTTTTTTCTTCGGGGTAGCTTTTGCCCTACGACACATCTAATGTGCTTACCATCTACACCCTGACACCCGTTTTGTTGGATCGCTCTGATAGGAGCGGGGTAAGGTTAGGTGTACAGCCGCCTAATCTTCCACATTCAGTTTCTACCACACACTGTATCCCCTAACGTTCTCAAATTACAATCGCTAGTTTCGGCGGGGAGTGCGAGGAGCGTTCGTATGACAAGAAACATGACCCCCGAGGGTCCGTGTCGGGGGTCTACTCCAAGGGGCTCATCCCCCTTGTAATCCCTCCACCATGTGGAAGCATCCGAACAGTGTAAATCCCCCCTGTCTCTTGGGCTTCCACGCCGGCAAATTGTCAGCGATAAATGAACTGAGTACAAAGGTAGGCAGACGGGCCTGTAATTAGCCCATCATTAACAGGTGTAATGTGGAGCTGACGCTTACCACTAAATGAGCAGTTATAGAGCTTGTTACCCACCTATTTCAGCGTGAAGACTCCTCACAGTGTTCCCCAGCAACTCTTCTTGATGACTTTCACTAAATTTGTATTTTTCGTACAGATCCATTATGTACTTGGGTGGGTTGGTTTCCTTTTCGTATGGGTTTGGTATCTCTCTGGATGGCTTGGGAGGGGTAGTGGTGAAGCCAAGCAGCTTCCTCACGGCCTCGTGCAACAGAATGTTTTTCCCCGCATCGATGGTCGACCCTTGCTCCTTAGTCACAACGTAGTGAAATAATATGTACACAACAATCACCAAACACGATGGATTTTTCATTTTGAAAATTCAATAAACTTCATCCAGTACGATAAAACATAGCAATACTCTCATACAGAGACAATTTCTCCGGTGGACAAAGTCGCCCACAGCGCTTAGTACATTTCACGTCACAATTAGATTGTGAGATTTAGACATACTGCAGACTGGTATTCGTCCATGGGAAGAGAAAAACAACGTGTTTACTCCAGGTGGGTTAATCTCGAAATTTGTGAATCAAAATCTACACGTTCACAATTTAAATCCTGCGCGTCCAAGTTGTCAAAACTTGAGAAAAGTTTGCACGTAACGACAGAAGCATCGAAACACCTGTCCCGTGAAAAAACAATAGAGAACCACTTTTCTTCTCGACACTTGTGAGCCTTAGTCCTTACTCCACCAGTGGCGGCCTACTATGCTTCTTTTACACGTCAAAAGCTGAGTGAATGCGCCCAACACAAGCCCCGCCCCCTCGCGTCCAGTGGCGACAGCGAGAACGAAGAGAGGTTTAGCAGCCCGGTAGTAAGCATACGATCTCTGCGGCAAGAGACGAATGTGTGCTGTAGTCAGCTACGGCCGCCCAAGCATACACTCTCGGTATCTCGGCAGGCCAGGAGACCAGCCGACGCACGGTGTATATACGTTAGGCGACGGACGCTGTAACAGTAATGTGCACAGGTAGTGAGCACAGTTTGCGTGACTGACAGTAGACACAGCTAAGGTTGGCATCTGTCTCTCTCCTAGGACAGCGGATCCTTCAAGGTGTAGACCAACCTACAGTTTTATAGCAGGGCTCTAATCCCTGCCAGTGTTTAATAGAAGACCTCGTGGGTTGTAAAACAATGTATGTGTTTACAGACGCTGACGCTGACTGAACTCGGAGACTGTTTTTTTCTGATAGTATCAGAAAGGGTAATGTTTTCTAAAAGCGTTGTATAATTTAGATCTGTGTACAACAAGTTTCATCACCGTATAGAAATATTTTCATTTTCTTAAGATAATTTTCCCAAGCATCAATGTGGATCCCGTCAAGACATAATAGAAAGTCTAAACATGTCTGGTTAGGGTGGAAGGTGTATGGCTGGATCAGAGAGCGTCACTCCACACCCCTCCCCGGGGAGACTCTCTGTCACCGGTGCTCTTTCAAACCCACTACCTCCCAGCTCTCCCCACCGTAGACGGCTTGGGGGAGAAAAAAATCCTTTCATGTATCTAACCTCGCAGTTGTTTGTTAAACAAATCTTACTTCAGATACCATAGGCAAACATTGTGAAACGTCTAGATAATCATTGTCAGATTTTTTTGTAATATATTAGACGAATATGGCACTTACATAAGAAAATCGCGTTGTATATGATCATAGAGACTACCAACGTCGTACTGAACGCGGAGATGCCCTGACTTTGATATTGCGATCATCCCCCAGTCACATTAATGTATTTCGCAGTCCAGTGATACCAAACAGACACTACACCGTGAGATGGTAGTTATTCAAAAGTATATAAAATTGATTATATCTGCCTATTACACGACACCCAGTTAAGAACGTGTCAGCAGACATATTCTTCGTGGCAGGCAATACCCTCATTTAGCCGTTATGGTTCTGCCCGTGGGAGTCCAGGCTGGGATGGTTCTCAGTGACTTGTCGGGAGTCCACTGAATGAGTCGCGTGGTCTGGCTGTGTACTACCCGCACATCCCCACTCTACATTCCATGCCTCTTCTACTATCGCCTGGCAACATTTTCCATGCCTAGCCTGTCTAACCGTTTGTTACCCTCACTACTTTCGAACCTGCCGAAGTCCAACTACTGTCGAGCCTCACCAACCCTTTCCCTGCTTTCCCCCTTCCCTGCCCACAGTCAATCTATGCCAACCGTTTTCCCCGCTCACCCTGAAGCCAGCCGAACCCTTTACATGCCTACTATGACCGTGGCGTAGCTGTCGAGCCTCACCGCTGTCCCTGCCTACTAACGATACTGTCAAACCATTTCTCCTGCCTACATTCAATCCCGGTCAACGCCTTCCCTGCCTACTGACAGTCGACTGTCAACCATTTCTCCTGCCTACATTCAATCCTGGTCAACCCTGTCCCTGCCTAAAATTGCAGACTGTCAAACCATTTTTCCTGCCTACATTCAGTCCTGGTCAACCCTGTCCCTGCCTACTAACAGTAGACGGTCAAACCAGTTTTCCTGCCTACATTCAGTCCTGGTCAACCCTGTCCCTGCCTACTAACAGTAGACAGTCAAACCATTTTTCCTGCCTACATTCAGTCCTGGTCAACCCTGTCCCTGCCTACTAACAGTAGGCAGTCAAACCATTTCTCCTGCCTACATTCAATCCTAGTCAACCCTGTCCCTGCCTACTAACAGCAGACAGTCAAACCATTTCTCCTGCCTACATTTAATCCTGGTCAACCCAGTCCCTGCCTACTAACAGTAGTCAGTCAAACCATTTCTCCTGCCTACATTCAATCCTGGTCAACCCAGTCCCTGCCTTCTCACAGCAGACAGTCAAACCATTTCTCCTACCTACATTCAATCCTGGTCAACCCAGTCCCTGCCTACTAACAGCAGACAGTCAAACCATTTCTCCAGCCTACATTCAATCCTGGTCAACCCAGTCCCTGCCTACTAACAGTAGACAGTCAAACCATTTCTCCTGCCTACATTCAATCCTGGTCAACCCTGTCCCTGCCTACTAACAGCAGACAGTCAAACCATTTCTCCTGCCTACATTTAATCCTGGTCAACCCAGTCCCTGCCTACTAACAGCAGACAGTCAAACCATTTCTCCTGCCTACATTCAATCCTGGTCAACCCTGTCCCTACCTACTAACAGCAGACAGTCAAACCATTTCTCCTGCCTACATACAATCCTGGTCACCTCTCTCCTTGCCTAAATAATTATGCTAAAAATAAGACCAATGTGCCATCCACTGATTATATAACCGAAACCCAGAGATATGTCCGGTCGCGATTCAGATAATAAAAAAGCCTGGTAATAACGCTAAAACGACGTTCATTCACTAACTCACTCACGCAGACTAGCACACCCGGAAGACACCCTTAGCCTGCCCCCTTTCGAGACAACCTAACCCACCCAATCGCCTTCTACTGTCCCTCCGTCTTATTGATCTGACAACAGATAAACATTGCCACAACATTTCAAGTGCCTTACGCCCCCTTCTCCCTGCCGTGTAACCACGAACCTCTCTGCCAACCCTCTTCTCGTGCCATCACTACTCTCATCTGTCTACTCATACAACCCTCCCATACTTCCACACAAGAGGGGCTTCATTCACAAATAACTGTTACATGATAAAATACGATATTTATTCAGAGTTAGCGGAGTCGATGCACGAGGACAAACGTTATCAGATGATATGTCTTCAGGATATGTCCCTACATCAGCGCTGTCTAATTTGAATAATTTACAATTGAGGACCTGTATAGGTGGCGCCTATACGGGAGGCTGTGTCTCCTGCTCGGTCCCTCCTCAGATAAGCGTTCAGACACCGACCATTTCATCTTCGGGGGATGGCGGGTGGGATGAATGAGAATTCTTTTTCTAAATTTAAAAAATACTTGTAAGAACATTTTACCCGAGGTTTTACTTATAAAAAATGAACTTGCTACCTGTCCAAAAAAGTGTTTTAAAGAAAGGTATCAGAAAAGATAAATCTCCAACGAAAATAAAAGGAGTCATGTGTTACTCCTCAGCACTCACCACCCACCCTCCCACCCCGAACTCAATCCCGTCGCCCAACACTCCCATCCCTCCCTCCCACCCCGATCTCAATCCTGTCCCCATCACTCCCCACCAACGCTCCTGCCCCGAACCCAATACCTGCGGATCCCAGCACTCCCCACCAACCCATCCCTCCCTCCACCCCGAACTCAATCCCGTCCCCATCACTCCCCACCAACCCATCCCTCCCTCCCACCCCCGAACTCAATGCCGTCGCCCATCATTCGCCACCATTCCTCCCACCCCGAAGCCAACCGCCTCGCTAATCACTCCCCACCCCATCCCCTACCCGTCTCTCCTCCCCTCCGAACATGATGGGACTGGTGGCCTTTGACCAAACTTATCATATAACTTCCATGAAGCGTCTTCAAATGTTTGACATAGTTGACGCACATACCTTTAACAAAATGTTCATTCCAAGATGTCACGTCTCACTGATAAGATGTCTGCCGTGGTAATCATTAAATCACATTGTTATCAATTTTCAGTTTCGTCAGCTTTGATCACATTTATTTTGACATGCCCCTGCGGTGGTAATGTTCAACATGGCGACTCATTCACCGAAAGTCGGTCGGCCACTTTTTTTCTACATGGCTGGCACGTTCTCTATAATTTCAGGACTGACCCGACTCTGTGGGTTACAAGAGAACGTGGGTCCCAGTTTAACAAGTTTTCCTCATCCGAAATGTGAACTATGTACAAGAACAAGACCAGCCCACACTAGCTCACCCCCCGGACAGAGAATGTGGAACAACTTGGCCTTCCTTATATATTAGGTCAGTCAGTATATATATGTGGGTGTGTATATATGTGTGTGTGTGTGTATATATATATATATATATATATATTGGGTGTTTTGTTAGAAAACTATACTGAACACGACGGTTAAGAGAACACGAATGTTGGATATTTCTCAGTGAGGACTGAACACAACGTCTAATAACAATATCCCCAAAATTGTATCTGATCCCGAACTCATTTCGTTCAGTATGATATTTTCATGTTAAAATATCTTAAATTGTTTTTATTTTGAAAGGAAGAAAGAAAACGAAATAGGATTTATAGCGGTATGTTGGAGTTTCTTAGACTCTCCGATGTTTACAATAGGTCGTCATGGGTATATTAAAGGGGGACTACGTTCTGTAAACTGACAATCCCATGTGGTTGGATGCAATTCGTTCAAGCCGCCTTTTACATATCTCTTTTGCACTGTGTAGGTCAGTTTGAACTTTGCCGAGTGTACAGTTCCAACTTCCTGCACGGCACTCACTACAAAGGGTGGATATAGACTGCACAAGACCGTGCCATAGTCCCGCCCCAATGAGTGACAACATTCTAGTGGTGTTTATACTGACTGACTGACTGACTGAGTTTGGTTTTACGCCGCTTTTAGCAATATTCCAGCAATATCACGGCGGGGGACACCAGAAATGGGCTTAACAGTGGTGTTTATAAGCCCTTGAGTCTTGTTACATTCAGACGCATTCTACTTTTCAGAGACAATACAATCACTGTTTAATACTGGGATTCTATCAACATGTCTGATGATTCCTTTGCCAACGTCGCACCTGTTCACTTCGCTACAGTCTGAACAATCCAGTTTTGTCCTTGTGAGGTCACGTGACCACGCACCGTTGCTATGGAATACTAATGTTACGTTTGTTTATTGTTTCACGCAGCATTCAGCAACGACCTCAACAACGACAGTCTGTAAATATACGGGTTTGCATGAGACAATCTGATAATATGAGCTTCGATCTACCCGGTTTGGGTGCGATGACAAGCCTGACCACCCAATGCCGTTAGTCGC